AGGTAGGTCAAGTAGGTCAGGTTAGGTTAGGTTAGGTAGGTACTCTACCATTAACAAAGGTACTCTGATTACAATGGTAATCAATGCACTCTAATTGGAGTACTACAGCACTCTAATGCACTCTACGACATTCTACGGCACACTGCAACAACTCTACTTCACTCTACGGCACTCTCCGACACTCTCCGGCTCTCTGCGGCACTCTGCGGCAACTCTCCGGCACTCTGCGGCAACTCCCCGGCACTCTCCGGCACTCTGCGGCACTCTGCGGCAACTCTACAGCGCTCTCCGGCCACTATCCGGCACTCCCCTGCACTCTCCGGCACTCTCCGGCACTCTGCTGCACTCTTCAGCAACTTTCCGGCAGTCTCCGGCACTTTCCGGCACTCTCCGACACTCTGCGGCACTCTGCGGCAACTCTCCGGTACTCTCCGGCACTCTCCGGCACTCTGCGGCAACTGTCCGGCACTCTCCAGCACTCTGCGGCAATTCTTCGGCACTCTCCAGCAACTCTACGGCACTCTCCGGCACTCTCCAGCACTCTGCGGCAACTCTTCGGCACTCTCCAGCAACTATACGGCACTCTCCGGCACTCTCCGGCACTCTGCGGCACTCTCCGGCACTCTGCGGCAACTCTCCGGCACTCTCCAGCATCTCTACGGCACTCTACGGCACTCTCCGACACTCTCCGGCACTCTCCAGCACCCTCTGGCACTCTGCGGCACTCTCCGGCACTCTGCGGCACTCTGCGGCAACTCTCCGGTACTCTCCGGCACTCTCCGGCACTCTCCAGCACTCTGCTGCACTCTGCGGCCACTCTCCGGCACTCTACGGCACTCTCCGGCACTCTGCGGCACTCTGCGGCAGTCTGCGGCACTCTGCGGCAATTCTCCGGCACTCTCCAGCACCCTATGGCACTCTGCGGCTCTCTGCGGCACTCTCCGGCACTCTGCGGCACTCTGCGGCACTCTGCAGCAACTCTCCGGCACTCTGCGACACTCTGCGGCAACTCTCCGGTACTCTCCGGCACTCTCCGGCACTCTCCGGCACTCTCCAGCACTCTGCTGCACTCTGCGGCCACTCGCCGGCACTCTCCGGCACTCTCCGGAACTCTCCGGCACTCTGCGGCAACTCTCCTGCACTCTGCGGCACTCTGCGGCACTCTAGGGCACTTTCCGGCACTCTGCGATAACTCTCCGACACTCTCTGGCAACTCTCCGGCACTCTCCAGTGCTCTGCGGCACTCTGCGGCCACTCTCCGGCACTCTCCGGCACTCTCCGGCACTCTTCGGCAACTCTCCGGCACTCTTCGGCGCTCTACTGCACTTAACACACGCAGCGGCACAGTACGGCCTTCGATAATGCTCAAAAACACTTGAAAAACGCGCGAAAACGATCGATAACGCTCGATAACGCTTGAAAACGCTCGAAACCGCTCAGAGAATGATCGAGCAACGCTCGAAAACGTTCGATAACGGTCTACAAAACGCTCGATAACACTCGAAAACGCTTGATAAACGCTCGATAATGCTCGAAAACGCTTGAAAACGCTCGATAACTCTCGAAAAAATCTCGATAACGATTGAAAACACTTGAATATCACTCGATAACACTTGAAAACGCTCTGAAAATGCGTGAAAGCGCTCGAAAACGCTCTGAAAATGATCGAGAAACGCTCGAAAACGTTCAAAAATGTTCTAGAAACGCTTGAAATCGCTCGATAACGCTAGTAGGGAAATGTAACAATCATACGTGAAATGACTCGGCTTGTATCCACAGTTAGGTAAGCCTCGGGAGGATTTTTCGCAGAATTCGACTCTCACGCATACTCGTCGAATGTAGCGCCGAACGCACACATACTCAACGTCTCAACCCGTAGCTTGGCGCTTGGCTGGTTGGGACGCGCGAAGATTTCTAGGAGCGATCGCACTCACACAGATTCGTTGCATGAGAGTTCCGTACGCGACACCGACGCGTGCCCCAAAGCTCCGCATCACATCGACTTCGAGGCAACAATTACTTAATAGTAGTAGATAAGGAGATAAAGTCAAATGGAGCGTCACGAGTGTTCTTCCCTTACCATCGAAAGCGAGCAGTATCGGTAAGCGTAGGCAAGCCACCACCGTCAACTGCCGGATGGTATTACCATCACGAGTACGTGAGCCGCCAACGGCGACTGGTAGATGGTCCCGCCATCGCGAGTGCGCGAGCTCCTATCAGAAATTCGTTGCGCCGCTCTTGGGGGCAAAAAACGGTGAAAGCTAACGTACGAAACCAGAGGGCAGCACAGGATTCGATCGCACGATCCTGCCCGTGAGCAATCTCCCAACTCATCTCTGTCTGGCAGCGATCAACAGTGATGAGTTGGGAGATTGCTCACGGGTAGGGTCGCGCGGTCGCATCCTGTGCTGCCCCCAGCCCGATTGAGGATGCGAACGTTAACGATCATATGTGCATATGTACATCAAGCATGCAACCTGAGATGAGCAGAGCCTGCTCATCTCTGATGCAACCAAAGCAGGGAGGAACGTAACGAATTGGTAGGTAACGTCTGAATCTGTTGCGTAACAAGAAGGGTGCCCATGCTAAATATGGAACGGTTAATATGTTCGGGCGCTAGAGGTCACTGGCTCTTAATTGTTGCGAAATTTGGGCAATACTCTATATTGTTCATTGTCCTAGGTTATGTTATCTGGTTTATTCAAAATAATAAAAACATTCCATGTGAGTGTTTATTTGTTAAACGTAATTAAATATGGATAAATTGGATGAATCGTCTAGGGAAATATATGAGTACTTTGCTAACACAGCAATTAATATTACTAAAGTGTTTGGTGAGTCTGTTTTAATTCCAAACTATCGTATGTAAATTATGGCTACATTATTTTTCAGAACGAGATGAACAAAAGAATGAAATAGAAATATTAAAAGAATTAGTAACTCAGCAGAGTAAATTAAATGAAAAATTAAAAGCAATTCAGCAGATCAGCGACTTCTATTCAAATTATCATATTCTTGATTTAACTGAAGAAGTTGGATTGGAACTTTTAGCAGTAAGTGGTAATAAATACACTGGCTTGTTTACTTTTCGTACTTGAAATTTATAGAATTAATATTATTTATTAATATAAAGGAATATAAGGACAAAGTTGCGCAAATCAATCCAGATGTATCGGAAAGTCAAAATTTGCTAGATTTTAATGAGCAAGTTGATGATATACTTAAAGGTATGTCCTTTAAACTTGATTTAAAAGTATTATTAATGACCACTATTTATCAATCAAATTAAGAATTTAATAATAATGGATATATTTTGTATAATATATTCCTAATGTTAAAACATTGTCATGAGTTATACATTTCTTTAAATGATATCTTTTTGTTATTAGCTTTTAATGATAATCCTGAAGATTGTCCTATCGAAGACGAGGAATTACAACTTACAGAAAGTATTGTTAATATAGTTGATCCTATTACAAAGAAACGCATTGTACATCCAGTAAAAAATACTGCCTGTGGTCATGTATATGATAAAGAGAGTGTTACTGCTATGTTAAAAATTAATAAGAAAACGAGGTATTGTATATTCAATGTTATTAGACTAATTTCATTAATGCAATTAAAATGGGCAGAATAATTTGTTTATATATATGAAGTGAACAAAGGTAAATTACCACACAAAATGTGTTAATCTAATCAGAAATAATTTGTTCATTAAGCGAAAGATGTTTATCTAGAACAAGTTCAAAAATTAGAAAAGTGCTTGTATTTCACTGTATTTTTTTATTAGATTTTAAATTCAGAGCTTATAAACTCTGTGATGTAATTGGATTGAATATGAAAACTTTTATGACTATTTTCCAACACATTTTAACAATTAGATAATGATGTAAGTGAAACAAATAATGTCTTTGCAGATGTCCAGTAGCTGGGTGCAAGAATAAACAGTATATAGACCCAAAGAACTTGAAGGTTGATATTGCAACGAAATTATATTTACATGAACATCCCGAAGTACCTTTACAAGAGTCACCAAATAACAGCTTCTTATAAATGACTTTGTTAAGAATCTGAAATACGTTTTTAGCTCATTGCGTAAAGTACAATGCAACATGTCACTTGTAGTATTCTATATTTATTTATTTACTGATCTTCAATTAAATATAATATTTATGATACTATTTGATAAAAAATGATTAAATTAAATGTAATATTTGTTTATAAAATTGTTTCATTTGAAGCCCCTACTATCTACCTACGTTTCTATTTAAATGATTGAAATATTTTAATTTTACAAGTATTGGTTGCAAGTTTTACATTTTAATTATGCATTTATGTATATGTTGTGTATGCACTATGTAGTTATGTATCTTCAAGATGTTTCTACATTTGACTTTAACGAAGATTTATTGTTTAAATGTGCGCCTACGTACATACATTTATTTTATGCACATTTTAAGTCAGACATTACACAAAGTAAAATACTAATTATGCTATTGTAATTGAATAACCCTGAACGAACACTTTTTGTGTAAAAACGTAATCAAATATAGGATCGCTGTTAATCTCTCTTACAAAAAACTACTATTTCTGTCCTACATTATGTTTTTGAAAAAAAAAACTGAAATCATATCACACGGTTAAGTATATATGCTACTAGTAAATATTTTTTTATATAATTCAACATCAGCTTATCATTTTAATTTCATTTGTAGATTCTATAATTTGATACCAAAATTGAGTGTTTTATTTAAGTTTAAGAAAATATGTATTACAGTTATAAATTAACTCTGAGTATTTCCTAGTATTTCAAAAGATGACGCGCGCGCGCATGTGTGTGGTGATGTGTGTAAACTAACTTCACACTATTTTTTGTGTAACTAACTTCGTGTTGTCATCTATCGTGATGTCAACATATGGGCTATGTTTATAATTCTGTTTCTATTCACTCTTGTAATTCTTGCCCGCGGTGAAAATCATTACATGTACCAAGGCATCGACGTAAGTGGTACTGATTGGCGTGTTTTTCTCTCCGTAACTCCAGAAAACGAAGAATTACCAAAGTACGACATAAGTCACTGGGTGCAACAACTGCATTTACAGCAATGCGCTTTTGTGGAGATTGGCGAGGGCTTCTGTGCCGTGAGTCTGTTTAGATATTAATGTCAAGTACTTATTTATTTCTATATATTTTTAAAAATAATTGTTTTTTAATAAAAGGTACAATTCTTTCTGCTACACAGTTGTTTGTGGAGTTACGAAGCATTCCCAGTACTGCCAAATATGGAGACAGCACCAGGGTAGGAGAATTCTTTTTGGGTTTGTGCACTTGTGCAACTCTAAGATCATGGATATTATGTTCATCGGAACTGACTATGCAGAGGAAATCCGATTGCATCTTCACAGAAGCAACAGCTTATGCAAATACCAGTGCAAGAGTCCACAGAAGACTTTGTGACGTAACATTACTTAGTAACAGTGCTCCAGCTTGTAACTGCTCCGTGCCGATGGCGGGTCAGCAGCTTTACAAAACGGAAGGTTCCAGTAAATCTAAATGACTTTATTTAACTTGATTGCCAAAATAGCATCTATACCTTTATAAGTAACTATTTTTTTACTTTATTGTCACCTGGTACATATTAGATTATTGTTTAAAATGTATATTTCTAATTTTTTCTATATGTTCAATAGGTTTTCCTACTTGCTTTCGCAACCCGTTACTGGAGTCATTATGCTTTCCTCGAGGTGTCTGTGGTGTGGCAGAGTGTTCAGCAGTGACTATTAAAGGAATTCTCTCGCCACGGTGTAATCCAAACTGTCACAAACGGCAGCCTGTACGTTTATCTTTGGTCTTCAACACATTCATTCAAACTCAATAAGCTCTAATTAATATAATTTATCGGTTAAACCTGAAATAGTCTGTAATAGCAATGATTTTATTTTTAGTTCTGTGAAGAAGTAGGACCATGGACTTCAATAGCACCAACAATCACTTCCCTCTGGTCTCATTGGTCAATACCAAAATGCAACAGCACCTGTGGACAAGGGTTCATGATCGCTACAGCAGTGTGCCACGACCAAGTAACGTAAATAAAAGAAAATACTTTTTTCCAACATTATCACAAATACAACAAATCTATTCTTTACAGAGGAAAACCAGCGATTGATTGCATTGGACCTGGATCCTTTTGGTATAATGACGCAGTAATGAATGATATCCTTATACTAAACCACACCAAATCAATATACTTTTTTTAGTTGTCCAACAAATATTAAAAGATGCAATTGTGAGGTGGCCGTTAGCGAGGGTATTATGACAGCAACCCGAATTATGGAGCCCTGCACGTGTACAGATGGCTGTGTCATTGAACGCCCTCAAAAGAGGCTATTTAATCGAGGAGAGAGAGAGTCCATCCCAGACCCAGGTTGGAACGATGATTCTGATACGATTTACGAAGAGTTTAACCATAATAACTTTGAAGGTAAAGAAAAGAAATAACGCTCAATTTTTTATACTTATTATTATTTTCCCATAATTTCATGCTTTTGACGAATGAAGTTTATTGAAAATTTATTGAAAAATGAATTTTGAATAAATTTTCGATTAATTCATTATGCACAAAGTGATGACGTACAATATCAAGTAAAAATGTACTGAAATCTTTTGAAGTAATGAATAGAAATTTCTGTGCATTATCCTACAGCACTCGTACAATTAAAGGACTGATTCTATTTTTCAGAGGAGTACGTGAACTATCCTGAGTACATAAATTCTGTTCAACGGCGTCTTTTAACACATAACTATTATATAGATAAAAATGAATACAAGCAAAATTTTTTCGAATATGTTAATGAACTGAGGAATAAGCGAGAAGAAAAGCCTGTGGATGATGATGTTGACGATGACACTGAGGAATATGATGACGATGAGAACGAAGACTACGAAGATCTGGTGAACAGCTCGGAGCCCTTAGAATATCATGATTACGGTTAGTATTATCAAATATATCCTAATTTCTAGATCGCGTCCCTGTTCAGACGTACCAGTCTGGCACATCGCAGAAATGTCACACGGTATGAAAGGGATACCCACGAGATACAATGGGAGAAAGCCAGACGACAAGAAAGCAACGTTGATAACGACACTGGTTGTGAAGACGATGTTACAGACGAGTCACATTATATAGAATATGGTGAGACAACGTCTTATAAAAGAAAGTCTTTCACCTAGCTCTAAACCACTTTGTTGGGGGATTTCTCGATAGTGACCATGAAGATGCTGTACATATCAGTTTGAAGATTCCAAGCAAATCAGTACTTGACATTTAAGTAAATTCAGTAAAATGCAGAAAATAAGGGATCCTAGGAATTATTTGCACAATTATAACTATATATCAATAATTTTAAGCATAAATTTGATTATTTTTGCAAAACCTCAGTAATATATTCCTTACTATAGATGTTTTACTTGTACGCAATATTGCGGAGAAATGAGTGTAAACGGTATTAGACATTCACACACCACATGTTAAATAACTAGCTCCTATAATCACACATAATGTAGCATAAACCAGCATTCTTTTCACATGGCACTTGTAATGTAGTACCGAAGAAAATCGGCCGTAGCATGCTGTCAAGATCTTATCAGTTGTAATGCGACGCTTCTCCAGAATAATCGGGCACTGGTGATAGATAATACTTAAATATGTTTTTTTTGCATATAAATTTAAATAGAAAGTTTTCAGTATACTACTGTTAAGTTTTCCTGTCAAATCTTCTAAAATATTCATGAATTAAAAATTGTTTACAGATCCTGAAGCAGATTCTGCCGGAGATATAGAGCAAGATCAAGAAGAGGAGTACGATTTATCTTCAAGTAATCGGACCCGAATTATAAATACTGTCCTCTTAAACAAATTGCTTGTAGCATTATGGATCTTCTTTTCTTATAATTGTACACTTAATATTTAAGAAAGTTTGGATAACACCTGACATGACTTCACGACTACTTTATTAGAATTATGTGTAGAAAAGACATAGAGTGAATATCTTAATTCAAGAATTGTTGAAACAGAATTAAAACGAATTCAAAAGAAGTCTGAAATACATTCAAAGCTTCTCAAAATAAAATATTATAATCGGAACCGGCCAAACATCGATTTACACGAAATGCATTTTTTATGCTACCTAGAATGAATAAATCTTTCGGCTATACTCATTATACGCTTTTATAAAAGTATCGTTGTATTTTATTGACAACCTTCAATTGCAACTTTTGTGGAAACTATACCGTTAACTTTTTCTACACACTGGTATTTATTAATATTATAGACATTTAGAAGTAACGTAATATGATAATTATTAACTAATGATTAACCATTTCCTAAAAATGGAAAATATTCGTCCTTTATTCTAAAACAATATATACATCACACATTCAAGCCAAAAAATACCCTATTAGTAAGCAATAAATTTATTAATAAAATGTAAGGTAGAGCCAATTCTACCCTGCTGGGTGAGGAACCATACGTGTCAATACTACCAACTAACAATACCATATTTAAACAATGTTCAAGTGTGTTTAACTATCTTAATTAAGCAGTGTATCAACTGAGTCTACTCTATTATCAATACACTGCACAAATATGTACCATTCACTTCTATCTAGTTCGAGATAAACTTGTTTCTAGTATTCAGGTACTAACGAATCTAGTCTCCAAGTAATAACGAAAACTAACTCTGTGAATATAATGGATGAATAAATAAGTAAATAATTTAAGTAGCGATGTATTTGAGAAAATTTAACACGTAAAATTGAACCATATTGAATTCTCTTGAGGGCAGATTATCGTACACCATCGTAACATTGGCGACGCCAAGAAGATGGATTCAGTTCTAAGTAGGTATAATGAAATGATTATGGCACAAATTTTATCAACATTTTACCAATATAGTGTATGTTACTGATAAAATTGGCGAATGAAGTATAGGTATGTATTTGATTTTGAAATTATACAAAAAATCAGCTAACAATTGATTGTAAGATTAATCATGTATTACGGGTCATTAAAACCAAGAATCGCGCTTCAATAAGAACGGGAAAATAAAATAACACACATGTTCAAATCAATGATGAATCACGTTAAAACTGAAGCATCGCGAATATTACACTTAATAAAAGAATGAAAGGTCCAAAGTTTTCGTTTCTATTTAGAAATTGACAATCGCGTTTGCTGACTTATCATCCAAGTAAAGTTAGGTATAGATATAGCAATGAAATGACTTGCAACTATGTTATGATACATGTAATATAATGTGCACGCCAATGCTGCATAAATGAGTTGATATTGAAAATGCATCTCGATACAGTAGCGTATTCTAAGTAATAAAATAGACTGACTAACGCAATTCTACGGAAAAATGCTTTTTACCGAGTATAGTTTATTTTGCGTTCATAGTATATGACTTCCGGTACGAGCGGTACATCCTCGTTCCATTTCTGCGTCACTAGGAAAAACAACTTCCATCGCTTCTTCTCTCATGAGGAGCAATACTCTTTGTAATTGTACACATACATGCCTTTTACGTGAGAAAACCTGAAATCTAAACTCTAAGGGCCGGTTGTCAATCACCAACCATGACTAACGTGAAATTTCATTATTATTATTAGTTAATCTCAGATTAATGAAATTCACTTTGTACCGACAAAAATTAGGCTAACTGAAGATTAAAATCCACTGTGAGATAATCGCCCGAAATCGGATGATTAACTTTAATCACGCGTTAAGTAGCCTTCAATTAAAGATTTTAATTTGAATGTTGGTGCAACCGGCCTACATATCTGAAAGAAAGTTCTGTGTAGATTACATTTGTCAAGTGCATTGGCATTAATTCATACAAGGTAGAGAAGAAACTATTGAACCATTTCTAAAAAAAAACAAGGCCATTTCGTTCCAGTTTTATTTGCTTTCTTATTACCAAAGGGGAAACAGTTCTTTGTACTTGTATGAAAACTTGAACACCAAAATGAAGATAAGATAAAATTAATTGATCAGAAATACAAGTGTCGCTCGAACTCTACCCACTGCATGCAGATATGGCTTTTCTTATATTCCATCAACTCCTCCTTCAGCAAATACTCTTTTTTTCGTAGGGAAAAAAATATAAGCTCGAGCTTGCAGTACATCTTTTATTAACAAAAATCAATCGACAATGTTCCCGGTAACATTGATTCTTTAAACTAAAGAAAAGAAACGCAAAGAAACGAATCCGAGATGATTGCCTCTCCAACATTATTGTCTTGCAATATTCCGTAAGTGAGAGTCACGATGTTTATCAAGGGAGGGTTTGCGATTTGTCAATTCGCGTGAATGTAAGCGGCGCTATCAAACATTCGTTCCGTCGCCGCTGATTGCCACTCGGCGAAGAGGAGCGTCAAGCGTGCGCCGCGCAACGGCACAGGTAGTAATTTACCTTCACCGGGAGGGTGAAGGTACATACATGCACGTTCGCGTTGCTTCTACGGTTTCCCTTTTCAATTTCTAGATGACAGGAGGGAGACAACGGAACTCATCGAGAGTGAACCGAGGACGCATCCAAATAATATCGCGAGGTCCACTTCCCAAAAATCACAATTTATCGGGACCGTCACGAAAAAAAAAAGTTACGGAAGTTAAAGACTCTAAGAAAGGCGGTTCTAATAACGGTTTGCGTCAATGAAATACCATCGTTTCCAGTTAACTCGGATGCGATTCGGCATTTGGGAGACCCTGCCCTCGTGATAGCTTGCGACCGTGACGAGTAACGATACCGTATTTTGAGTACTTAACTTTAAAGAGGGAAATAATCTTTCCGCAGATATGCAACAGTTGGGCCCAGTACTCGCCTCGCGCACGGACGCCGCGCGATCGCAATGATCGGCGATTCTTCTTTGCACTGGCATCCGCCGAGGGGCGAGGCGAGCGCGCGGGTTTACGAACCGCCACGGCGAGGCTAGCCGCGAGCCGAACGCCCATTGGCGCAACTCGTACCACGTGGCGACGCCGCGCGGGTGGGGATTGGCCGGCGCTTACCACGGGCGAAAGCGGAGTTTCGTTCTAGTATTTACCCCGCGGTTAAAGTTGCTCTTTACTCTTCGCGTTTGACTCCGATCACTCCTCGGGCAAGAGGGCGAAGCCCACGGAGGCCGTGCGACCGCGTCGACGACGTCCTCCGCCGCGAGCGCGTCGTCGCAGCCGCTATGGCGTCGCCGGACGAATGAGAACGCGCGCGATACGGTGTTGCCGCGGTTCGGTGCTTCGGGGTTTCGCTCGACAAGCTGGTGCCGTGATTCCGCTCGACGTCGAGTGGAGATCGCGCGATCGACCGATCGTCGGGTCATCCGGGAATCGCGCTTCGCGTCGATGTATCGGCGGTCGGACCAGGCGGTGCACGAGCAGTCGGAGACCGAGAAGGCACGCCGTGGGATCGTGGAATGCGCGCTGACAGGTATCCGCCGCGTTGTATGGTGCGCGCACGGAATCGGCCGTGCGGGCCAGGCCCTCTTGCTTGCGCTCCCGCTCCTCCGATGAGTCCCTCTCGCTCGTACGCAGACGCGCTGCGTCCGATGCGGCGACCGTCTCTCTCGCGCGCACCGCTGCATGCCGCGCGCCCTCTCTCTCGAGCGCACGACCGGCGTTCCTCCGCTCCGCCGTACCTTTTGACAGCTCTCGGAACTAGAAACGATGACCCGCGACCAAGCTATGCCCTATCGTGTGGCGCGATACCAAGCTACGTGAAACCCGACAAATGCATCGAGGAAGGAAACTTCCTCGAACCCTTCTTAACCTTTTTCGTTGACAGCGTCATCGAGCCCCGACGAATATGGAACGCTTAAGCGTTATGGACTCTTCCGGTTCACCTGTGACAGCTAATGTCGCCATGTTCTTAAAAGTGTGGAGTGAAATCTCTTTTCAAAGGTCCCTTTAGCCCACTTTGTTCCTATCGTGCTCTCCTTTTTAGAGTTTGGGAGATTTGAAGCAGTGAACCGCTACGAACCGCTGCGTCGCTCTCGCTCCGAACCTATTGGGTTGTCGGAAAAGTCATGACGCATTTTCGTAACAGATGGCATAGAAAAATGCGTCATGACTTTTCCGGCAACCCAATACATCCTACGATATAACGTAACGCTAGACTGTTATGAAACTGGGGAAATGTATTCGCATTCGCGTTCAGTAGTTTTCTCGAATCGATGTCCTAATCTGTTTGGGAAGTAATTATCCGGTAATATCACGGATTTTGAAAGATATTTGATTAGCTGCGATAACTAAATATCGTTCGCACGTTAAAAAACTACGGTCTACCATTCTGTTGGGTGAGAATCTATGGTTTAACCATTTGGTACGGTAGTCTCTTTTATTTCGGATTTCATTGCATCTAATAATAAATTGCCTTAGTCTCTTAACGTCGTACCGTTAATTTCAATTGAAACCGACGAACCGGTACGGTGTTCTTGTTTTGAAACCACGTCTACGTTCCGTCGCATTTGCGAAACTTAAGAAACAATAAAGTTTGTCAGACAGTTAGCTTATGATAATATGGCATTTGTAATTCCACGCCGTCCCTATATTTTTAATACCATTACTATTTTTCGTTGACTTAAATTACATTGTGTTAATTTGCTTCGCGATAAATTATTTCGTTGATTACCGCAAATAATACAACCATTTAAAGATACGATATTTAATCTACCAGATAAAATAGATGACAAATACCTGAACATAAAACATAGTTTTCACCAGTTAATTGTTAAAATTGTTCGTTTGAATATGGCGATATTGGTTCATAAAATTACTATGCTTTAATAAAGTTGTAAACTACTCGCCTGTTTCATACCAATTTACTGTCCTTTTGAATGATGTTTTTCTATCGCCAATCTTCTTATATATCAATGAATTTATAAATTATTATCCTTTCAATGAAATTCAGTGCACGTTTCAGAATGTGTCGTTATCTTCTTTGAAGAATCCCACGCTTTATAAGCATGACGTACAACTTTCACTGATCAGACGATGGCCAACTCTTTCTGTTTTTATTCCATTCTCATTCAACTGGACAAGAATATTCCGTATGTAACCAAATTCTGAGAACCTCTCATATCTTTACTGTTATAAATAAAACGGAATTGCATTAAATAAGGGATCTTCATATATACTTTCATCATTATTTTCAAATTATATTTTCAGGTATTTTTTAAATAAAGATTTCGCTTACAGCTTTTGTAGAGCGATTTTGTAAAATTTCATTTTTGGCCTCTGGCATGCGTAAACTTTGATAATAGCTTAACTTAAGCCTAGGTGTCTGCCTAAACCTGCCTAAGTCTGCGTAAACTTTATTATAAAACAATTATCTATAACTATTATATTTTAAACTTAACTAATAACATAATTACATGAGCTACGCAGTTATTAATTTTTTTTAAATCAACCTTATTTATCGTTAAACCTATTATTTACTTGGACACCCTACTAGTGATCTGAGAACCTGTAGGTTCTCTAAAATAGTTTAAATGTAATGTTTACTATGAGTTGTTACTAGGATTACATTAGCAATCAGAAGTCTAGTCATGTTCGTTCACTACGTATTTGCATAATGTATTTATTAAATACTTCTAGCCTGAAGACAGTAGTTCACTGCATTATCTCAAGGTCATATCAGTGCTTCTCGCGATTGAATAATCAACTTCAATGCTTCTTTCTGACTTACCATGTCGATTACTGAACCCATAACAAGATTGCTCGGTACCACCGTTGGATATCCCTCAGAACTGTTGCTCTGCAATGTTTTGGAAAACGAATTATGATTTCATATGCTATAAAGATTACACTTACAAAAGAATGCTTAGAGTTTTGGAAACACCCTATACAAGAATATTTTCAACAAACTCTTCCAGTTGGAGGTCTGTCCATTGTATCAACGGCACCCTAAAACTTGTTCCCCTTTCTCCAGGTTTAACACTAGAACTACCAAGACCAGTCAAAATGACTGGTTTCAAATGGCTCATCATATACAAAAAAAAAAACCGCCGGTGGTTCTAGTGTTAATGCCCCCTTCATAGGCCCACTACCTTTTACATACCCATCTCGGTGATCCGTTACGATCCTACTTTACAATTGACCTATTTCATAGTCATCCATTTAAAAAAACTAGTGATCCTTCAATGTTTTATTAAAAACATTGGGTTTAATATCTTCTATACATGACGCTAGCAAGATGATATTCAACAATTTCGGGTCCCCTTCTGCGTTTATTCTTACATTTAACGAGCTCTTCCGGTGAAGGTTTCAATGTATCATTGTCTGAAGATAATTGACCAAAACATCTCTTCCTCCTTGTCCCACGTGGCACGGCTACTGCCGCTTCTCTTTTCCTCCCCTCGTTCTCTATCTCCTTTTCTTCACTTCCATCTCTCTACCTATCCCTCAACTTATCTCTGCTTCTATCGTTCCATCTCCCTCTCTCTCCACCTCACTTAATCTCTCTCTCCTTCTGTACATCTTTCTCGCGTCAATGACCTATCAACGACCTCTTGTATACCCGACGAGATGCAGCAAAAATCATCTTGCCGAGGAGTCCGATCTTCCATACTAGGTCCGCACAGTGCGAGACGCACGAGATGTATGAAATTTCCTTGAGCTTCTCATCCGAGGTCGATGCATCCTCGTTGGGGCTTTCGGCGTGTGAAGGTCATCGTATATCGACCTTACTCTCCGAGTCCCACTTGGCTTTGTAGTATCGTAACACACCTCGCGGTATTCACCAGGGCCCGGTTGCGTCACGAAACGTGCTGAAGAAACGACGCGCACTCACCGAATGCCGTTTTTTTTTCCTACAGACATTGTAACTCCCAAAGAACCTGTTATTTACTTTGCCCTTTACTTTATCACATTAAATAAAAACATGTGGCACTCGCGGAGGGAAAAATGATTAGACAGGATGGACATTGATTGGCTCAGAGGGGTTAAAAGGTTGTGAAATGCGCTTTAATCAAAGTCAGTTTAAGAGAGAATAGAATGATATAGGAAATAATTGATTACGGACCTATCTTATTTACGTTTCAATGGAAATTCGATATGAGTACAGTTTTAAAATATTTCAAAATGACGGACTGTAAAACCTAGAACATTTTATTTTTTCACGGTGTACACGATTCCAGTAGGACGGCGAGTCTGAAACAAAAGGTGAAGTGCTTTTAGAGATTATAAATGATTGTATAAGAATTTTCTATTTAATTTAAATTCTCCATAAAACATGAAATAAAACAGCTCCATAAACAAACATTTCCTGTACATTTTCATTGTCTTTTAAACTCACGTTTGATTAAAGCGCATTTGCAATCTGCTAATGCCCTTAAGGGATAAAGACCTCCGGGGTAGAGTATCCCTCTAAAGGAGAATATTTCAGTAGAATCTTGGTTTGCGCCACACTTTCGAAAGCTATAATTCCGAAAATGACTTTGCATGCGCGGGATACGCGACCGTATAGTAATGATGGTCAACAGTACACTAACGAAACGCGATCCAGTTATCAAATCGTGAATCCTGACTACTCGACATCGGTGACGTCACGGCTTCGAGCGGTGCTGACGTGAGGGATTTTGTGGGTCATCCGTCTCTTACTGTTTTCGGCCTAAGGAGTGTCAAGGCTCGGACCGCGCTGTAGTATGAAGCCCTACGTGGAACGGAAGGACCAGGGTTCACAGTTCAAGGAAGCGGTTAACGACCGAGGAAGAACCGAGGATAACGCTACCTAGGAGAGATGAACGATTCAGGAGGGACGACGAGCGGCGAGTCATCGAGAGATCCGGAGGACGACCCGTCGACGACATCCGGAGACCTTCCGGAAACCAACATGGACCTGGTACACGCTCCGAATCCCTGGCTTCCGGCCTACGGGTTCCAGCTGCAGCATCACTCGCCCTTCCAGCCCACGCAGGAGGATCTACGGGCTAATGGTTCGTTGTGTTTTGTCACGTTACGAGTGCTTCCTTTCCTTTCCCGCTCACCCGCTTGCCTTCCCCTACAGAGACGGGCAGAAACACCGAGAGATTAACAAAGTAAACTATTTTTTCTAGAGCATTGAATTCGTTGACCTTAAATACAGTGTTATGTGTCGGTGTTTAGGTACATTGCATAAATAATTATTAACGGTTTTGCGGAATTGACTTTGTCAGTTAATTCACGGGGTAAATATTAATTTTAATTAATTTCAAGTAGTTGTCTGCGGATAATGAAGTGGCTTTAATTTAGATTAGTGGATGTAAGTTATATGAAGTTACCGTTTGAATTTCGGAGTTTTTGTTTCGCTAATTAATTCAGCACGTATTAGGTTGAAGGTTAAATTCCTTACGAAGTATTTATTGTATCTCAGTGGGTTCAATTATCACATGCACGAAACATGTGCTGAAGGAAAAATTCGCATTCAGACAATCGCTTTAACGTCTGCATTCAATGTCGTTATAAGGTCGCGGATATATTATCTTTCAATGAAATGCATTCAGAATTGTCTGTTGTATAATGTTTGTCAAGATCCCGAGAGGTTTTCATACTCTCGTACGTTTCTTTTTTTTCTTTTTTTTGGAAACGTGTCGATTCCAAAAAAGGGAATTTTTCGTAATGAGAGAATCCCCTCTGTTAGTCTATCACCGTCAGTTCATAATGCTACAGTGATTTCCTTCGCTTAGAAAACGCATTTAGCCGGAGGTGCATATAAATTGTATCGTTAATGCTAAATGTAGGCTGCTTTCTATCTTGGCGAGATAATGAAAACCACCGACCTCGGGAGGTGTCTAGCAGCAATTTCCACGGTACACGTGTACCGTGTATGGCCGATCTAATGACCTCGAGAAGCAACCAGGAAGTAAACAAAATCTTGTAAAACCACGAGTCAATTCAACAATTCTTTTTGGAAAGAAGATATGCATTCATTATCTATAACAAAAACGTTTTTCGCGTGGTATAATTTGAAGGTGTAATTTATGCGCCATGCTTGCAATTAATTGTAAATCAGAGTTTTTCATTCATTAATTTTTGCAACCGGTCTAATAAAATGTAAAGATATTATAATCCCGTTTCATGTTTAATTAAAACAATTATAGGTCCTTCTCATAACGTAAAAGAGAATATGTTACGTTTTTTTCCGAATAACCCGAGTTTACATAAATTATACGACATTGAGCTCATTTAGTTTCCTATTGTCAAGGACAGAAGTGTCTGTAGATGTTCCAGCATATCATTTACTTGTCGTAAAGGGTAGCACGCATTCCTCGCTACTCGTTCTGGTCATGAAACTACCACCTGTTGCTTCTTATCCGTTACCTCTTGGACATTTATAGTCCCCTTGCGTGTCTTGTTTTCGTCCGCTTAAAGACAATGACGCCATTGCCACTTAGAAAGGAGTAATTTTAACAATACCCGTTTATCCACCGCTCTACATCCAAGTGGAACCAGACACTGTGCAGTAGCTCCTACGATCAATTTTTTTGCCATTGTTTCACAATTCGTTACATGTATTGTACCGTGACTGTTCTTTTGTGTGCAGTTCAAATGATATGACTAATGTCAAACGTAGACCAGGTCAAGCCATTTTTTTAACGTGTTACTCTGAATGTTTTATTTACTACAAAATATTGCAACACTATTTCCCGGAAGTATTTACTCGCGCTCCGATTGTAACACTTTTACTTTTTTCCATGCAACGCCTGTGGAAGCTGTGAGTCATGTACCTAGTTTAATGTTCCTTTCGTGATCACATAAATGCCGATGGAATTAAAAACCACTTAAAATCTATTTGTTTTTTGTTTTTTTTTTTTTAATGTAAATTCAGCGAAATCTTTTCACCATCTTTCTCGGTTTTCCGTCCCTACCAGATGATAATTTTGTCGACAGCAAGTAATCCTATTGATACATATTTCCACATGTTAAAGTAACAAAAAATGTCGTATGCCAACTTTTCAAAATAGTGAAAAATGAATCTAATAATATTCATGTTAATATACACAGACTGATAACAGCCAATTTAAAACCATCGGAAGTTGAAGAACTTTCTCTAGTAATGGTTAGAATTTAACGATTACTTTATACTTCCTTTCTCAAAGGTAGTATCCAACTATAGATTGTAATAGGATATGTATTTGGTAACTAAACCGTCTGAAGATTCTATCAGAGCGCGGCGAGTAAAATATGTGCTTCATGTGCATGTCGCGTACGCATCCACGCCTCCCGCGACTTGCGCTCGTTATAGCTGCACACGCATCGATTTGGTATTACAAGCAGTGATATCACTGACCATGGACCGTAATTACGCCTGCGAAATATTTGTTCCGGGCAGTCGGGGTGTTCAGAGAAACCTTTGCGGAGAATCGAGGAGTGCCTCGAATCGGGAGCTTCACTGACACAGTCATCGCCTTTAGTCGATGCGTTTAATTATTCAACAGAGACGCGGTTCGATGTCAGTCATTTCCTGTGTGCGATTAACACTACAGAGAGCTTCTGCGTGCACCTCGATCTCGTCGGAACGTGGCAAGAACACATTTAGAGTACACATGTGCAAAGTTTAATTCGATAGCTCCAAACGCTGTTATCTTTCTAGTCCAGAGAAAATAGCATGGTTTTCGATTCGTGGAATTAATTTGATCTTGAAAACGTAGTGCATTATCGAACCCCTAACCATCGAGCGGTTCCTTTGAGGCAGCGCCTGGACATCGGCTCGCAGCTGTGAAACCGCAGACCAGCGATCGCGAGAGCGGACTTTTCTCAAGAATTCTCGCTGATTGAATATCAAAGGTGCCGAATATCATGTGATTCCGAAGCCAGTATTACCACAAAATATCTTGTGGTGCATAGCTCATAATACCGATCGTCGTGTGTTACTACTCACTTGATGCACGTATTCCAGCTGAATACATAACTCTCGAAGGTTGAAACCGACGTCGAGTGCGGTCAATTGCATTATCTGCAGAATGTGCTCCCATTGAGGTGACGCTGGAGTCAGAAGGGTGGAATTTAATGAATATGGTGGAAAAAATAGTTCATGGTGTTACAGTATATTGAAAATAAAAAAAATGCATCGCGACGACAAAAATACCTTTGTAGTACTCATTGTTGGTGTTGGATGACTCGTTAATTCGGACAATGTTTTTTCTCTTCGAATAACATACTCGATCCGACTTATACCCATCTCCGCCAAGGGCTATGATATAGATGCATAGTGTATCGGTATCGTATATCCGCGCAACTTTCATTACCTCCGCATGCCTCACTGGGTTTCTGCAGGAATCGATGAATTCCTGATACAAAGAAGCGACTACGTGCCAAGCATAATCGGTGGTTTCCTGCTAAAGACCGACGGAAGCTTGGTTTTTTTCCAACCTGGTTAATTGTAGGAGAATTACTAGCAGCTCAAATCGGTCGCGGATCTCCTAGTATTTGAAACCATCCGCCAGTCGACTTTCCAGAAGCATAATATTTTTGCGTTTATTTTGTTTTTACCTCTCGATATGAGCAAGTCATTTATATATCCAGTATTTAAGTACTCATGCAGGTTCATTTGCGTTGAAATTCCTCGGGTCTCGTAAAGAAAACATAAGGTCGATTTCTCAATGCGTAGTTAGTAAGGTTATCGCTGACCACTATTATCGACAAAGTTACGAGTATGTTACGCGTAGAAACGTAAAATGTCATCTTAAGATGAGTCCCCGGGACGCATCAAATTAATACGTTTTGGTACTAGACGATTCAATACTTTTCAATTATCTAAGCAACATTCATAATTTATGTTTGAGAAAATACAGGTATCGTAATTCAGTACGATTATCGGATTTGCTTAAGCGAAGCAAGAATTACTGAGATCATTTTGCGTATCAGGTAACATCTAGAAGAATGAAAATTTAATCCCGGTCATGAATGCTATCTTTTTGTGTATTTGTACTTTTTTTAATAAAATAATATTTTATCCGTACACTTTTCCTTTGGTTTTTGCAGACCCCATGGTAGTACAACGAGTCGACTTTTTGGAAACGATTCTCGAAGAGACCTCCGACGATCTGCAGAGCGACTCCGATCGAAGTGGGACGACTTACTGGTTAGGTTCTGATTCTGAGACTGAGAGCGTCATTCATATAAGAGCGAATCACGGAGTGTTTGGTAAGTCTCTCAAAATCTTACTGAAACTTAAAGCCGTACATTCGTTATATTAGTTTTGTGCAGTTGACACCATTGCACGATAATTTATCGTACGAATTTAAACGAGTAATACTTTTTGTCATTGCATTCTAAATTTAATCGAATTCAGCGACTATCAGTTGTCTAAAACAGAGGAGCACTAATTTTCGTGATGTAAAAAAGTCATATCATAGAATTCAATTCTGCAGAAAATTAATCAGTTAGTGCGCATTGTTCGCGTGATGTTTTCTGGGATTCCAACCTGCTTTCTTTTATGCAGAAGCGTATAATAACATCCACTTTGAGGTACCGTACATCGCGTGGCGTATTTCTTTCGCATGAATTGTTTTTCAGGCTCATGATTGCATTTCTAATATCACGAAAAAAGAGAATGATTACATCTACTTTAACAAATTTATATTTATTTGTAATTCTAATATAACAAAAATGACCGATTTTTATCGAGCCCGATTTATTCGGTGCTTACGAGCCCCTGAACGTCCTGAACCGGTGTTGCGTTCAAGCGCGTTTGGTTGCGATGGGATGGGCGTTGTTCCATTTACTGAGACCTTGACTGTAGACTCTTACAATATTCTTTCTAAACAGAATTGAATTGTTTATTTCAGTATAACAATGGCAATTCTTTAGTATCGGGTGAAATCTACTGCAAACTTACCAAAATTAATAGACATAGTTACCTACCTTTAACAGGAACATTCAATGACTTTCAATAAAAATTCAGTTTAACATTTGAACAAGTCATTAACGTAAATCCTTTTTATTAAAAGAAGAAATGTAATACGTAGACACATTTATAACAGAATACGTACTTGATGTGTAAAATTCAACGAACAGTAAAAAGTAATAAAATTAAACCGCACTAGTAATAAAGAACATCTATTTTAATCGGGACTGTATTCCTCGGCACCCTTTCAATCTTTAAGGTCGTCAAACACAACGTTCTGCACGAACACGTCGACCGAGCCGGTCCCACTGCTCGGTATCGTCCAGGATCGATCGATTGAATCTTACAAGCTCGAGCTTTCGAAATGCCTCGCGGATGCATTATCCGGTAAAACACCTCCCTGGTCAACGCCCTCGTAATACCTGTGCCCAACATAAATTCTGTCTTGAATACATCAACATCTAGCGCTGCTCGATTTGTTGAGGCTTCTTTTCTGAAATTCGATCTCGCTTCCCCTCGACTGCGATTACTTTTCCTACCTTTCGTATAAAAAAATGCAAGCAATGAGGAAAATATTCGATTCGATTCTGCAGAATCTATTACTTCAGTTCCTTCCGCTGTATCATTTTCAGTATGATTCTTCTTCGAACCTGAGACCAAGGGGTTCAATGAATGCTTCTTTGATCACTCTCTGCCATTCTACGAAAAGTTAGAAACTCGGTAAAAACGCGATCTTCGTTTGCCTTATCCACGACCGCTTAAGGGGTAAGACCACTGTAAAAATCTAAAATAAAGCATTCTTTTGCGATTTTTTTTTAATGAAAGGAAAAGTAAGAGGATAATATTCAAGGATGTTATTAACCATGTCTTTAAGTCTTCAAAAAAAAATATTTTCTTCCGGAACTTCTTCTGGAACCATTCTCACGAGGCATGTTGAATTTGAGGCGCTCTGCGGCACGCAGTGTAACTGACGTAAATTTGAATCTGGAAAGAAAAACAGAAAATGTTTTCTTAATCTACATGAGTATGGCTAGAGAAATACGTAGGATATTTTAAAAACATTAATTTTTGTGTAATTGGCGAGCATTTGAATTAAAAAGTTAAATTTTTGACAAAAAAGGGGCAATCATACGTACTTCTCTTTGGAATGCTATTTTAAAGATATGGTCCAAATTTGGAGTGAATAGGATGAAAATTGTTGGAATTATGCTGCGTGCCGTTCTAAAAAGTCGTGTTTCGAGAAGAACGCCTTTAAAGTTTTGAGATGTGTTATGGACGTGAAAAAATTAAAAATTTCCTGTATATGTACTGACGCTATACTAACGTACTTTCGTTTGAAAATGCACCTAACTGAATACAAACTCGTTCTAACGACATCTGTTAGTGTATTAGAGAAGTTAGAAATCAAAAGGTAAGTCATTAGGCTATACCCTTCCAGCAGGTATCTATGTGCCGCAGGTAGTCGTTTCGGAGCAATCCGACGCGTTTGGGAAAGAGCTCGGAATTTCAAAGAAATAAATTTTGCACAGACACAACTTTTTCCTCCTTATTCTAGAAAGTTCAAAGCATCTTTTAAGTCAATAAAAAAAAAATCGTTTTTCTGAAAATTATATACGTGGTCTTACCCCTTAACCCAAGTCTCAGTTCGCAGTCGGCTCACGGAAGTGATCTTTCCCTCTCTGTCCGACCAGTGGCGCTCGTCTCTGGTCCTCGACGGGCGACGTCAGTCCAGGAAGTGGTCGGTTCGTTCAACCGGAAGCAGCGCGAATGCGCTTATGGAATTATATTTGCCAGCCGAGGCCTGCCAGCTAGGAGAAGTAGGCGACGTCGGCTGTAACAATGGATCACTGAGTTTTTCGCTGCACCTAACACATTATTTGTCTTTTTAAAGTTACGTTCCTGGATCATTTAGTAACTGATGTTTTAATACCGCTGTTTGACCCTGGGATAATTGTACCGTAACATCCAATATCCAAGAATTTTTCAATTAAATATTTAACTGTCGATCACTCTAACATTCCGTTATACCAATGTATCGTTTTTGTCTTTACTTTTTAGTATAATCTGTTAATAAAAAAAAAAGTTGAGATATTACAATATTCAAATTAACGGGATTCGGATAATAGAGATTTTATTGTACTTGGCTTGTCAAATGTTTACTTGATGGGTCAGCATAAGTGCTCTCACGAGCTCGCACACGTTGATTTCTGACCACGTTAGCGCTTACCATACCGAGTCAACTGAAGACGGATCACGTGACCCAACCACGTGGTAGAGATCAATTTCAAGGTTGTTCCTTCGTGTCGGTGAAGCGCAACGAGGAGTCGAAGAGACGTCCAGAAGAGATCCCTTTATCTTTAGAGTATCCAAAGGGTGCTGACGTCATGCTTCCGATATAAAAATAGTGCTTCTTTTATAAACAGTGTTGCAACCAATATTGACCCTACTTTCCGGAATCCTGAAAATCTCTTACCTTGCCGAAGTTGCAATGAGGTTACTCTAAATAAAATTGATCACTAATTTGACCATCTCACTAAATCATTCGTAATATATTATTTCTGAAAAAGAAAGAGAAACTCGACGACCTGCTGGAATATTGATGTAGTATTCAATGATTGTATGTCAGTTCAATTACAATAATCTCATTCCGTTTACTTTGATTCGAGACCCTGTTGGAAGGTCGTTGATAGAACGGTTCTTTCCTTTTGTTTTGTCGTGATAAAGACGAGAAACCAGATGGAAGCGGCAGCGAGTGCAACTCCGTGGTGCCGAAGAAACGACGTCGACGCAACGGCGGCTCCGAGAATGGCTCCAGCCTAGATCAGCGCTCGATGTCGCCGAGATCCTCCAGGTCCTCGAGATCATCGGGCTCTTCCAGGTCGAGCTCCCTTTTACAATTCGAGTCCCTTGAGAGGACGTGCGCCACTTTGTCACCCTCCAGCTACAGCTTCGACTCTCTGGAGTACGCGAATCGCTCGAGCAACCGCTTCGATAACACCTCTCCGGACAGCTTGGAGCAAGACTATGATAGGACGATCCCGAACGGGTTTGCTGGCGAAACCTTTGGCAAGATCAGGCCCTATCGTAGTTTCGAGAGCTTGGACACGTATCAGAAAGAGGACGATGTCAGGCAGCGACTGTGTAATGGGTTTGCGCCGCTTCTCTATACCGAAAGGAATCAGGACCTCTCCAGATCGAGGGCTAAGCAGACTAAGAGGTAATGGGAATCATTTTTGCTAACAACATGCCAAAACGATTTTGAGATAGAAATTCGAAACATTTCGGAAGAAAGTGCGAATATGGACATTTTTCATTGGTAGAAAAAACTGTTGTTGCATAAATGTTTCCAGAAAAAATTGAAAGCTGGAGATTCGTTTGATCCTTCGCATATTTCTGCTAGATTTCAACTACAGGAACGTTAAAATCATTACATTTATTTCACAAATGTTTAATCTACACATTCTCCAGTGTACCGAATATGTAAAAATTTGCCAGTGAAATTCTCTTTTTTACGACCACCTATAGCGATTCTTGCATTCCCTTAGGTGCTTGACTTTCCTTGAAAGCGTTATCCTCTGCTGTAATAATCAAGTTATATCTTGTTGCCCTTCTTGGATTTTCTCGCACATACAATAGGTACAATACAAATCTTCGTCCTTAAACCTCTAATTGTCCTCTTGGCACAATCCCGGCAAGTTCGGCGCGTGACCGCTGATTTTGGCGAGCATTCTTGACCCTGAAGAGCGCCTTTTTGGCCGTTAGGAAAAACCTTACGAGGCCGTGAGTTTTCCCTTGCGAATCGCCCGACCGAAACGTGTCCTTTCCATGCATGCAGGTCCCTATGGAGAGACGAATACGACGACGACGATAACCTCGCGGAGGACCTAGAAGACGACGAGGACCAGCAGGAGGACCCAGTGGACCGATGTCGGAACGACCTGGATCGCTTCGATGACCGCCTGCTCGTCTTCGCGGAGTCGAATGGCAGCTATTCGACGGCTCTGGATTGTCGCAACACGATCGATCTCCGAGAAATCGGCATCGAAAGCAAGCGGGATGCCTTATTCGATTTGAAATCGGGCCAGGCATCTTCCTCGGGTTCGTGGTTACTACAGAGCGGTTTAAATATAGCCGGCAACATGGGACGCACCGGCTGTGCCGGCCAACAAGGGTGGAGCAAGTCGGGCTTTAATTTTAGATTCACGGATAAATCTCAGAGCGCGCCCAGTCTGCCAGGCAGCGCTTTCGGGGCCGGTCTCGGGGAGGAGGACTTCTACTCGGCGACATCCTCGATCACGACGGTATCCTCGGCTTTCTTTGAGAACTACAACAGGGTAGCCAGCGTGCCGGTGGATCTGTACCTCTGCGGCGATTACTCGCACGATGATACCAGTGCTACGAGAATAGGCGCGGTACCAAGCGAGTGTCACGAAATGGCGGACGTGGAGATGATGCGAGATGGCGCAACGCCTAAAGACGACGTGATCTGCGATGGCGTTGTCGCGCCCAGGACGAGCGACGACGACGACGAGGACGAGGACGAGGATTTCGGTGCTCTGTTGTCTTCGGTAAGAACTCAGGATCCTCAAGATACGATGATGGTGAGGCAAGAGGAACGGAAGCACGCCCCTCGTGAGCAGATGCAAGTACAACAGAAACAGGTAACGTCGACGGTCAAAACCCAGGACCGAAGGGACAACGTCTTGGAAATAGCTATGGCCATGGAGAGCGACATCGACGCCGTCGTCGACGAAGCCATAAAGCAGTTCAAGCGCGAGGTCGAGGAGGCGGCAATAACCTCAACCGAATCGAGTCTTTCGCAGCGATCTGCCAAACAGCGCGTCTCGAGAAAGATCAAGAACAATGCCAGCTACGAACTGGCCCAACAGCTACAGGTAGACGAGACCAACTTCAGGACCAAGATGCCCAGCTGCCAGGAAGTCGACGTGGAAAACGGCTCGCCGAAGCCTTCACCCAGGAGAAGAGTCGTTAACAACGCCAGCTACGAGCTGGCGCAACAGTGCGACTACATCCGGGTGTTGCAGGGTCAGCCGAAGCCGTTCCACCGCATGGATGCGTGCGACGAGGAGCCCTCCTCCTCGAGGTTAAAGGTCGCCGAGCTCGTCGAGGAGATGAGCAAGAACAAGGAATCTAGTTCCAAGGGCTATTCCAAGTCGGCCGAGAACGTCTCGACCGGCGCCAATTCCGAGGTCGTGGCAAATCACGTCGGTCCCCGGGAATCCGACATGGATCCCTCCGAGGACCAAGACTCTCTCCTGAGCCAGATAAAAAAAAACTCGGATTTCTTTTCGCTGCCTGGAGAAAATGGTAGTGTGCAGGTAGAGGACGAAGTAGACTACCCCTGTTTGGAGAGTAAATCCCTAGTTTTAACCCCGGTCCCCGCAAAGAGCGATATACTCGGAGAGGAGACCCATCTCCGCGAGCACCCCGACTGCGAGCCAAGATCCTCGGCGAAGAAGCAGGTAACGTCCACCACTTCCGCGGAGCTGGGCCGTCTACTGGACGACATGATCCCGCGGAAGAAATCCTTTCTAGGTGAGTATTACCCGGAGAAAACGCGCCGCCACAGCGGAAGCCCGGAAGAGGTCGAGCACGAGGTCAAAGAGTCGAAGGTCTTGGCTAAGCAATCTTCTTCCAAAGTTATGGCCAAGATGGATTCCAAATCTTCCGTTAGAGCTCCCAAGCGGAGAGACAGTCCGGGCGACAAGTCCATCGCGCGTAGACCTTGCGAGGAGAGGTCCAGCGGTGACTTCTCGGACGAACGGCTAACAGCGAGTACCGCCTCGGTCACCGCTACCATGGCGGCCTCGGCCGACTCGGAGGGGACCAAACAGCCGGAGGAGGAAAACCCGAAGAAGGAGAAGGATGTGGCAACGCAGGAATATAATGTCCACGGTGTTCGTTGCCCCCCACCGGCTCTGGCTTACAGTCCACAGAGTGGGAACCCGGCCGCCGCCGCCACCACCACCGCCGCCGCCTCTGCCGGTGATACCAATCGCAGGGATAACGACGAGTACGACAACAACGGTGCCCCAGTCAGGCAAGAGATGTCAACGGCGAAGTGCGACCCCGTACCCGCCATGGCCAATCCTGCCGAGAGGAAAAAGGGCGGTCTCGGTGGGTTCCTGCAGAGGTTCTCCAGGTTGAGGTTCAGTGGTCGGTCGAAAGTGCCGCGGTCGGAGGTGCACAAAAAAAGTGAGGCCCAAGTGAATCGTGCCAAGTTGAGCGGACAGGCCGAACAGGAGACCACCGGTTCCAAGAGGAAAAAAGAACCGGATTACATTATCATTCCGCTACACCCCCCGGAAGAAGAGAGAAAGAGAGAGGAGGAGCTGAGACACGACAACCAGGAAGTCAGAAAGTCGGCGCAAGACGTGCACAGGGTTCCCTCCAACGTTAGGTAAGTTTGGCATGTTTCCGCCTCTCGGCTTTACGCGGGTTCTTGGCGGGATAAAGGAGGCACGTGGAAAAGAATCTGCAGGTTGAAGCATGACAAGATTAATTTAAGGAACAGGAAGGACATCTGCTTTGGCGTGCCAGTATTTATTCCTGTGTTAGATTTTATAAGCAGGTTTAGATATAAGATTATGGGAGATAAAGGGAGCCCGATAGTTGTCGATTTGGGGACGAATGCAACTTTTTTTCTCAAAACGTTTGTTCTTAACCCTTTTATATTACTTTACTTAATGTATTGATGTTAATACCTAGTATGGTTCCATTTAACAAGCTCAAGATGTATCCTGCATGCATGTAGTTTACAAAGAAACGATTTTATTCGAAGTATGTAAAAAGTGTCTAATACGTCCTACATCGTGGAAGCCTTTACTACAATGTTGTTCCTTTGAGAATATTTGTTGATCAGCTTACTTAATGTACACAATGATGCATCGCAATTGCTTACCCCGACTTTCCCACGTTATTAGCAACCGAGGTTCGTTACATCAAAACGTAATGCAGATAAAGAATGTGTTTGATGAAATTTTGTCGAGTTCTTGTTTTGGGCCGTGTCGCTCCAGCCCTACCTCGATTTAACCTTGACTCTCGTTATCTCCAATCCGTCGACCGTATCGAGGGGGGCAAGTTTCTTCGGCACGTTTCTCGGCAGATAATAGCCTCGGTTTCATTCAGTTAAAGCATTGAAGGTTGTACCGATTTAACTACTCACGATGTCCATTTCTATCCGTCTCCGTGTCTTCCGGTAGGGAATTTCATTCTCTCTCTCTCTCCCCTGCCTTTCCGGGCAACAACGAGGTCAGTGATACGAAGTCTTTTGCAATGGCCGCCAGAGTCAATGAACAGCTGCCTGTTACGTACTCCGCCACCCACACGGCGCACTTAAGTACCAGGCTCTTTTCCTTTTTCCACGGTACTCTCTCATTGCGGATTCGAGACGCGACTTCACGGACGGACCGACACGTGACGCATTTCCTCGTCCTCGCCGACGACAACTTGCCTCGTTGTTATTGAATTTGCTGCTGTCAGTCTAACGATTGCTCGAGGTTATCAAACGCGATTATATTCTTCGATGAACCATCCTTAGAAACGATGAATCAGCTTCGAAACGTTATTTCAGAATTGACTTAAACTCAACCGCTACGGGTCATTTTCTGGAACCTTAAGGCAAAATCTAGCCTGAACAACTGGATTAAAGTAAAATTGAATTTAAAATGCATTTCCAGCCGAAAAGTAAATATATTAGTCTGCCATGAAAGAAAATATTTTAGCGCGTAGAGTTAATTTATGGCAATTCGTAAAACTGTCGTTTGAAAATAGCTGCAATTATGGAGACAAAGGAGGAAGAGCAGATTTAATGCTGCGTCTGGAATACTCATTTTCAATTTGGTTTATCGTCGCCTATTGGTTTATGGAATATTTTAGAGAACTAATGATTCTACAGATTTATTGGAAAAGCAAGAGAATTGGTCTCAGTCAAATTCGTTTTGCGTCTGTTTCGACCCTTTGGAGTTGGAAGCGATGAATCACGGGCGCACCAGAAGCGTAATTCAAGAACCGTACGCGTTTGCATAATCTCGAGGTTAGCGTTGGGAGCACGTGTATCGTCGAAACGATGGTTCTTCGAATCGCGAAAAAGGAACCGCAACAATAACGTCAATTAACGATCGTCGGTACCGCTTCGCCTAATATGGCTAGCATATAGCCAGGAGAAAAGAGAAAGGGAGAGCTGCTTCATCGGGAGTGTAAACTGAGTGTTAAGTAGATCAAGCGTATTCCTCGCATCAAATTATATTAAATTACCTTTCACTATTAATACTATATAACTATGAGCGTTACAGCGGGGTCTACTCTGTGGAAGGTGTGAGTTTAATGTGAAGACATTGACCAGCTGATAAATATATGCATAACGGTAAAGGATGATTTCACATTCAAGAAAGATTGAGGTGTGCTCCTGCATTCGTTTTGCTACGACCCACGTTAAATACATTATACCGTTTTATTTATAATATTTGTTTATAAAATAAACAAGTTTATACGATAAATAAAAAAAAAAGAAATGATAGCCGAAGGTCATGCTGTCGCGAGAATGAGATCAGAATTTTTGTTGAAATGAAATGAAATGAAAGCGTCAGTGATTTTCGTAACGTGAAAACCGCTTGGAACGACATAGCAGTTATTGGCTGCTCCTTGTTTACATTTCAGACAGATGCTTTTGTTTACAAACAGGAAAACGTACTCACTGGGCGTATAAACACGACGTTTCGCGTCGTCTGGCTAATTTAACGAATGTATACATGGCTGTCACTGTAAGATCCCGTTTTAACACTTGAGAAGAGTGATGGATACATTTTAGAAAACTTTAGATTCATAATTACATTTTTCATAATTCTCATATTCCCTTACCAAAAGCTCATGTCTTTCTTTCAGAGTAAGGTTCGCATGCGCTATTACATTTTTGTGGCATTTTAACTCTATCAAATTTGTTCATTTCTTCGTAATTTATTGAATAAAATATTACATACAATCGAAGAAGAAGGTTAAAAAAACTTATAAATAAATAATAATAAGTACGTTATATACTAAAATTATAAGTCATAAACATATGTTAATACGTACAGTATAACTGACCTTGTTCTATTCAATAATTGTTTACTGAATCTTTGGATCTCGTCAACGTAAGCTGTGAAAACGGCAACGCTGGATGAAAGTTGAAAGTTTATTATTCTCTTTTACATCACGGTTGGTTGTCTTGTTCATTGGCTGAATCGACTGTACTTTCTCGGTGCGTTTCTTAATCTAAAATTAGATCGGTACTCCGTGAGTCAGGATCGCACAGTAGTAATCGATTAGTCATCTGGATTGCCATGGTATGTTAGCCGACATGTCTTTGCAAACTTTCATCAAATGTGTTCAACAGACCTTTGAGGTTTATCTTTACTAGGGTCTATTTAAAGATTCCGTTATTTTTTTCAGACTAAACAGACCTAAAGTAGATCCTCGTGGCAATACTTAGGCCATACTACTTAAACGGTTCAATGAGTCATCGGTATTTGTAATAAATAAATAAACGACAGTGTTCCATTCCCAAGGCGGTGGGGACTGATTGTCCTACATCGACTCATCGATTCACTCATCTTTATCAGACATAAATACTTGTTTATACCGTTACTGCTTCATTAGCAGATTCAGAAAAATAATGGCAGACTCACCGTGCTTACGTTGGTACACAAAACATTTCCATCGATTGCCTTTTATTTAGTCATCGCTCCAGTGACCGTCCTTGGTTTCGACCTATAAACAGTGTTTAGGTTTTAACGCAATCACTACTGTTTTATTTCTCTGATATACTTTGATAGAAATTTGAGAATTATGACCCGTGAACAGATAATAATAAATAACATAAAGATGAAGTGAAGGATTCGGATGCATTTACGAATAACGTATTACCGTGTAAAGAACAGAGAATAGCGAAATGGAAGCTTACGCTCAAATTCATCAACTATATCTTACCAATTGGAAGATCTGACGGAATTTCCAATATCTCTTGTACGGCTTTATTCCTCCGATTCAAGTACATAGAACTTGGTCGCTTCTGTCACAATATCGAAATACATGTTCCTTTGTCAATTGTGTAACCGCACAGATTGTAAGGAACAGGATTTTTATATTCGTTTCACATTGCTACAGAAAAAAGGCATTTCAAAGAATATAAAACGTTGCATAATATAACTTAGCGTCATTTCTAGAATCGCACTCGAAAATGAAACGTGTGTACTTTGTTAGTAACTCCTTGTTAGTCGAGATCGTCGACAGATTTGTCCGCAGCGACTCAATCTGAAATCCCTTGAAAGATCCCAAGTCAACGAGTTGTTCTTTCCCTTATTGAATCGGGCCATAATCTACGGTTGCTGATCTCGGGAACTGCCATTATCGCCGTTATCGCCGTTATCAAGAACAGCGGAATTTGAGGTCGACATCGTGCGTCCATCCCTCTAGTATCCTCGGCATCTCTATAGGGCAAGGTCAGTTATTCCGACTGCTGAAATTATACTTAGATCACAAAAGGAATAGTGCTGGATCGATCGTGACCTCCACTTGAAACTAAATTTAAGTACAATAAAAAATCACCTGTATGTAAATACAAATAATAGGGCCGAGCACATTTGCATACGGTACGTAATGGCATTGAAGATACGTTATAAGGAAATGCTACCATTAATCTACCGCTGCATCGTTTTGCTTATCCTTTAACGTAAAGCATATATCATTAAATTTAAGTATATTTTAAGGCCGATAAAAAGCTTCGAAAAAAGTGACCGGATTCAAAACAAAACTACGTACACCGAAGTTCACGCACTGATTCACCCTCTGTACAATACGAAGCCCCTCACTTTGACGGTTCCAATTAGTTCATCCCCTATTTCGAATAAGCTCCACGTTCGTTCAGAGAGCGTCCTCGAGAGCACTCATATCGAACCACCTGTTTCGACTTGTGCGTATTTCCTCAAAGCGCGGTCTACCGTGAAACCGTTTGATAAGTCAAGACTTGCGCGAATTATAATGAGAATTACTGTTTTGAAAAGTCTCCGCATGTTTACGCCGTACTTCGGCCTCCTGCGCTGCAGGAATACCCCGAGTACTTCCGTTTCGAACTTTGATCGTGCTATCTTATCTGTAGCGTTGAACGAACCCCGCGTTTTCTCTTACAACCACTTTCGGAGTCGCGGTGGATCGCGAAGCGTACTTACATCCGCGTGTCTCGATTCCGTTGCAGCACGAACGGGAGGCCGCCAGTATCCAGCAAGCCGCCATTGCCGCCGCAGCCGCCCCGAGCGACTGCGCTGGGTTCGAGACCGGCGCCCTCGGGCGGCGTCGCGACGCGCCGGCGCGCCGCGACGGACCTCGGCAACCCCGCTGCCATCGAGATGGCGAAGGCCCGCACGATGCAGGCTGGCACCGAGCGCCCCGTCGGCCTGCTCGAGACCGACCTCGACGCCGCCGAGGGCTCCGAGGGCGTCGCGACGCCCGCCGCCCCCGGTAAGAAGACCAGGAGTCTGCTCAACCTGAACCACACAAGGGCCGGACGCGAGGCCGGCGAGGCCGCGACTCGCGCCCCGCAGTCCCCCGGGGGCAGGACGCCCGTCGACGTCTCCGTCGCCTCCATCAACCAACGCCCCCACAAATCCATGGAGTTCCTCCTGGACAAGGAGAACCTGCACTTTGTCAAGGTAATCGACTTTCTGGTAGGCGGCGACGCGCCCACCGGCCCGGCCGCCCGGGCTCCGCGGGGGCTGCTCCGCCAGCTCCCACTCGCGCCTCGGCCTGCGAACTCGAAACCTCTACGCGTTTTTCCGTTTCCATGTTACTATGGTCCATTTCCAGCCAAGACGTTCGGCTACAGATATGGGCTGGCCAATCGTTTACATGGTTAGCTTTGGTTGTACAAACGCAAGGGTTGGTAGAGTGTTTTATCGGCGTACCCTAAAGAGCGCCGCGGGTACAACCAGCTAGGAAATCGAGACCTAGACCGCTAGTACCCACGGTCTAGGTCAGGAGACACGGTGCCGGTCCGATCGGCGTTCGTACCGAGTCCCAGTTGATATATAGAACGTAAATTAAGGGCAGAAACACCTCGGAAAGTAAACCTATCCGTGCATCTTTTTTTTTAACGACCGGAGGGTCGGACTTGGCACACGTCCCGCGACACTGTGTACCGTCGATGGAGTACTCGAATAAGGGTTGAGACCGCTGACCGGATGATCGACCGAGAATCCGGACACTGGGAAACGAGTGTCTTGCTAGGAAGTTGGAAGGAAAAATGGCCAGTTTTTTTTTCTTTTTTTTCTTTCCTTAAGGTTGCCAAGGCAAGTAGTTTACCCGGCCACCTTGAAGGCGCTGCAGACTGGCGGAAGAAAGGGCGGAGGACCCTTCCCCGCGGTCCAGGCTCTCCTCCCTCTCACAGGAAATACGATTACCGGGGACGTCTGAGAACGGGTCGAATCGATGCGTGTATCGTTGCGGATGATCAACCGGGAAAGACATGATGCTGTCATTTCAAGATTGATTGTTAAATATTAATTGAAGACGAGTGTGGTCCGAGACGAACGTGATCATGAAGGATGGCTACGGTGACCCGGGTGTCAATTAGGATTCAATAATTCAGCATGTTAAATGTGATATACTCTCTGAATCCTTCGAAATCAGTTATACGTTTCACGGTCCATGAATCAGATGTTCGATCAGACGCAAATGTCTTATTTAAGCAAATCCCGTATGGCATGATTATCCGAAGGTCGTGGGATTTGTTTCGATCTAGTCCTCGTATAGTATGCAGCCCTTTTTGCGGTTAATTCGACATTTTTTTTTGTTTTTTAGCGCTGTCTACTTTTTCCAGGCGCCGTATCGTTTTATCAGGGTCGAGGACGAGTGCGTAGCGGTAGCCCGTCGTTCGCCCGAGTCACGCGATCAGTACACTTCGATTCCAAATCGGATGCTTTCCCGGTGGTAATGACCAAGTGGTCTTCTAAGAGTCTTTCCTTGGTTCTGCTTATTTCGAGGAATTCTCTAGTGCTGCCGACCACTTTGGACCACTTTATGGGTTCTTCAGATTAAAGCGGAACCATCAGCACTCGGAACGGGCTTGGCGTTGGGCTCGATCGGTGCAACAAGGGCTTGGTTAACTCCGATCACTTGGTACGCGTACTAAAGATGTGGTTTTAGCAAACTCTCAGGATAAACAATGATATACCAAGACGGTACGATACATACTCTTCAAGTGTATCGTAGCAAGGAGATACACAACCGTTTACATTAAGCGTTTGGTAAAACCACGCCTTTAGTGCACGCTCTAAGAGATCGGGGTAAACTAAGCCGAAGTTGCGTCTTTATCTAGATTCGGTGAAGAAGAATCGATTTCAGGTATCTCTCGGCTTTCCAGATGTTTCGATTCGATCGAACCCTGTTGTATTGTTCGTCCGATTCTGAAAGGTATTTAGGCGAGATCGATAGGGATGGCAGAGCCTCTCGACTTTGGTTGAAGGCATTCGAGCAGTCTGAATCAGTTGGAAGAATTCGCCCGTTTAAACCGTCGAAGAAATCTGGAGTTCTCTTTGATCTTAGCTCTTCAGAAAATTAAAGCAGAGAATGCACCTATGAGTTTCGTGGACACGACACTATGGTGTGCATAGAATGGCACGTGTAGTGCATTAACGTAACAGGGAAAGAAAGAAGGGAAGTTTGATGTCCCGGAGGCATGCGACCTACAAGTGAGAGGCGACACAGTTTTAACTCTAAGTCTTGGATTAAACGTCACTGTCTTTTGTAAACAAGTAGCTCTGGACAACCTCGAGTATCTGAACGTTTCAACATCGTTTAAATTTCCTGGAGTAATCGTGTAATTGGCCAAGCACTCAGGAACTCTCATTTAGTCATCCAGAAACTATAATCCAAAGTGCACATATGGAGGATGTTGAAAAATAAGGAACTTCGATTTCTGTAAGACTTCGGTATCTAGTCAATTTAGCCGAGGTTATATAACTAAATACATTTGAGCAACAAATTCGTAGGGTCGAATGATAAACGAAATGCGCCTTACACATTTGAGTTTCAGAGAGACGCTACTGAGTACTTAATGCCAATGATCCAAATTTCATGTAATTTTCTAAACGATTCAAGTATAAAACACTTTCCCAGGCTGTAGGTTCAATCAGAAGCGTGTTATATGGCAGTTAACTAACATACCATATGAAACAACGTTCCACCCGGTATCTCACCAACCTTCGCTAGACGAACGACCTACATGTATCATGCACGCGTGTATACACAGAAATTCTTTTCTGACATACAATCAATAGATAAAAGCTGGATAATGTGATCGTCCGTACCCCCCGTTAGCTGTTAGCTGTTACCATGTTAACTTGGCGGTATCTATTTGTCTAAAGTAATGGCACTCGGAGGCAGTTACCATCGTACTTGGAAAGTGCAGCCAGAGCAAATAGAGTCGCCATTGATATTTCTAAACGTTCCTGCTCGTGTAGTACGAGTCTCGATACAATATGCCCTCGCGCTTGAGGCCTTTATGCCGAATCTGGGTGAAGGGGATCCAAAATAGATCCTCAAGTGCTAATACCGACTCTTTGCCGGTATTTTGGAGGGTGTGCTCCTCGAGGTTTACGAGTACAGAGATGGCGATATCGGCCGAGTTGGAACTTCACTTTTACGATGTCATCGCGGACGCATTGATCCTTAAGTGTTTTCGAATTTTTGAATTCAGTATTGGCGTCCAATGTTATTATTTAATCTTTCCGATGCCTCCACCCGGCTTTTAACGTCCACCGATACATATTTTTTAACTTTTCCTCTCACTTCGTTTTATCAACCAGGTCAGGATTGAGTCGTGGGTCTTTTTTATTTGAACTGTGCGCCGAGCATCGTTGAGAACCGCTGTCGCTCGAAGTAAGTCTTCTTCGTCCGAGATTCCGTTTCCTCGTAATTTCATTTGAGAGTGCTAGAGAGGATAAGGTAGAAGAGCTCTATGAACGATTAACGATCGCGTTCTGTTTTACTCGTCGTTTACTGTTGGCACCTTTTCTAGTACTTTTCCCTCATACACGGGAACCAATGACGACCGAAAGCTTTGTCTTCAGATGTAACTTAAATCTTTTCTACTCTCCGTTCTATTTTCGATATTTATAACAATGTTGGCTTTCATTACACGTTCTTCTACTCAACCATTCCAAAATATGGTTATTGAAAAATTGGCATACATAACCTTGTATACATGGATCCAACTAGAGAATTAATTACGGACCAAATTAATTCCTGGTTTGTATACACGTGCGTACAAACCGAGTTTAATATTCCTATGTTTTCATTTATTACATTTTAAAACCCGGATTGAGAGCCGCGTTTGATTTTTTATCGCCATCCACGCCATAATGTGCGCACCGATATTGGAGGCAGCACGATAGCTTGTATTCCTCCTTTAAATTCCCATGCCTCTATTTTTATACCGAAGCGACAACCTGAGACAATGATGACCCAGATGTCTATCAAAAGGGTGTATTTAACGTCGGACACCTCCCTCGTTAGATAGGCTTGCCTCGTAGCAGGACCGGAAGCATTAAGCTTTTTGTATGACCGTGCAGAAACATTTGCTCGTATTGGCCCCGGGCCAATTTCTCTCAGGAGTGTAATTACGTAACCGGGTCCGAGAGGTTGGAAACGCGGCAGTGAAGGCTTGAAAATCCGAGAAGATGGTGGAAATACGCGGCGTCAGTATTAAATTTCTTGGTAGCTTCCGGTGGATCGCCATTTCCCAGCAGAGATTTTACATCTCATAGCTACAGCGAATTCGGTGGCCTCATGGATAACCGAGTGGAGTTTCTTAGGAATTCTGAGTACGACTCGAATGCATTTTGTCTTGCCTCCTCTGCTATTCGAGTTAAGGAACCGGAATACCAACGCAGGAATGGCAAAGTATAGGAACGCGACCACGAGTTTATTCTGCGGGAATTTTCACTGAACTCTTCAGAACTTTTCGAATGAAAAATCAGGACTTTGTCTGCAAGCCCAATGTTTCCAAGGCGATGGTCTCGCAAAGTCACAAGTACCACGGCGAGTGAAAATCACCTAGTGCATTCAGACGCGAGGACTAATGAAAAGCACTTTAAGAGACGCGAGAAGTTGTAAGTAACGACATACTTAGGGAATTGTAAAGTCTACATTTTTCTATTATAATTAAATACGACACAAATTATGCACCTGAAATGAATCGGAGGGGTTGACAGTTTCGGATTTTCAAGCGTTCTTGCCGGGATATATTATCGAGTCAAGACAAAAGCTGAAGGTATTTTCGACTTGCCTCTGAAACGTTCGGCCTAGGAATTATCTGTCGATTCAACAATGCCACTCGATGAAGCTCTCTCGCGAGCAGAGTCAGGGACTCGCTTTGGAGTATCGCCGGTTGGAGTATGACTTCATGAAAATGGATTAATCGAAGTGCACGAGACTCCCCTACCAGACAGGTTCACGATCGTCCGCTTGTTTGTCATATTTTCCATTCGCATTGTATTCGTTTTACAATTGTCGCCTTCACGGTTTGCCGTACTACCCTGTGTTAACATCATCCATTCATCGTCATTGAAGCCTCGGATGTTTCAATGGAGCTCATAACGTCCCCGGTCCAACGACTCTGAGGCTTCGTAACGTCTATTAGAATATCGGATAT